GGGCAGGATGCTCTGGTACCTTTTTCCAGAAGGCAGCAGGTGAAGAGTGTTTGTGAGGGGTGTGTGGGGTCCTCCGCAATGCTGGTGGCTCTGCGGATGCAGTGGGTGTTATACGTGTCCGTGATGGAGGGAAGAGAGGGTCCAGTGATCTTCCAGGAGAGGTTCTCCGGCAGGTGGACACCAAGGAATTTGGTGCTCTTGACGACCTCCACAGAGGATCCAATGATGTTAAGTGGGCAGTGATCTCTCTGTGCTCTCATGAAGTCAACAATCATCTCCTTTGTTTTGTCCACATTCAGAGACAGATTGTTGACTCTACACCAGTCTGTTAGCTGTTGCACCTCTCTGTATGCTGACTCGTCGTTCTTGCTTCAGTTTTCCAATTAGGTGCTGAGGAATGATTGTGCTGAATGCTGACCTGAAGTCTATGAAACGCATTTGTACATATGTGTCCTTAATGTCTCCATGGTGTGCATTATGCACATACCAACCCAACAGACAGGCACACCTCTACTGCATGAATATCACGAAAGTTACCAGTATAGGCAAGGTGCATCATGCCAGGATCAAGTCTTCTGTCACGGAGCAATCAAACCTTTGATATTCGGCTGCAGGTAGCCTCATTCTACTAAACACTAATCAGCTTCATCTTGAATAAACTGAACGCTCATCAGTTTAGGGTTTTGTTTCTTTTTAGTTTTTTGTAGAATTATTAAGGACCTCATGTAGGACATTCAAGCATGAGAAATTATGCAAGAATTACAATCAAAAAGTTGTATGACTGCAACCATGAAATTCAACTGATTTAAGAAGTCACAGAAATCAGTCCTGAAGTGAACATCAAGAACATCAAGATCTTCTCAGATGGCAAAGCAAAAAGTGAACGCTCGACTTCCGAAAAAACAATTAACATGGAGGAAGGGAAAATGTAAATGTCACATGTTGCATGCAAACTACAAACCAATAACAGCATTTGTAGGGTAACCTGGGAATGAAAATGATGGGACTCAGCTCCCTGCTTCAGCTTTTGTCTGCTGTATTTGTTGGCTTGTTTATGCTACAGTACTTTCACAAATATGAATCTACAAAGCCAGAACATGCGCTGTCGTACACTAGAATACTCTTTTCAGGCCCGTTCGTTTTGTGGTGAGCAAACATTTAAATGGTGTCAGGTTGAACAGTAGTAGTTGTTGTTGGCTAACAGACTAGAAGAACAAAGGACATTTGGATTGGCATCTTGTCTGTGACCATCGGAGAAGAACAGATAGTAAAACAATGTCTAATAAATAGGTAAATAATACCTGGATCGTTACACTTGAGGCAGTGATTATGTGTTTGAAGCAGCAGAATTACTCTTCATCTGTCTCCTCTCTTTCAGGTCGCACCTGACTTCTTCGAGTATTTCCGAGCCCTGTATCCAATCTTGCGTTCTGACCCAACCCTGTGGTGCGTTTCTGCCTGGAACGATAATGGCAGAGACGCCTTGGTGGATTCGTCCAAAGCTGATCTCCTCTACAGGACAGACTTCTTCCCTGGTCTGGGCTGGATGCTGCTGAAAGAGATGTGGGATGAACTGGAGCCCAAATGGCCATCGGCCTTCTGGGACGACTGGATGCGTCAGCCGGAACAGCGCAACGGCCGCTCCTGCATTCGGCCAGAAATCTCTCGGACTATCACCTTTGGCCGGAAAGGTGTGAGCTTAGGTCAATTCTTTGACCAGTACCTTCGTTATATTAAGCTAAACACTGAATTTGTGCCTTTTACCAAACTGGATTTGTCTTATTTGCTAAAAGAGAAGTATGAGGAAAAGTTTATTAAAGAGGTTTATAGCGCCCCACTGGTAAAGATTGAGGATCTGCAACAAGGGGGCAGTTTAAGAGGACCTGGGCCGTACAGGGTGCAGTACTCCACCAGGGACAGTTTTAAAGTCTTTGCTCGAAATCTGGGAGTAATGGATGACTTAAAATCAGGAGTTCCTCGTACAGGTTATAGAGGTGTGGTCAACTTCCTGTACCGTGGTCGAAGGGTGTTCTTAGCTCCACCAGAGGGCTGGTCGCAGTATGACACCAGCTGGAGCTGAGAGACCCAGACGCAGTCCAAATGGTGTTGAAGAGGGGACAGAGCCTTAATCAGAGGAACACCCTCTCAGACCAAAGAATACGGTGGACGCAGGAGTTCAAAGTTAAACGTGGAGCTGGAAGGCCGAGCTTCTAAAACTGACGCTCATTGAGGATCGGCACGTGTGGGCCACACAGACTTCAGAGCGGTCCCACTTTGGCTGAAGCCATTCCATCCTTAAACTAAACGGCTGCTGTCGGCGTGCCTTGCTTTCTGGGCTCATTTTGTTTGGTGTATTCTCTCTTCTTGTGACAAACTGGCCAAATATAGACTTGACATCACTTTCAGATGTTTGCAGCAGCTACTGGCAATCATGTCATTATCAACAGTGTGAGTGATGGTACACTGCAGTGGAGCCTGACAGGTATTGGATCAATGCAGGTTTGTTTTTTGGTGGGTCTTAGTTTTGGCTAGTCTGTGATGCAGAAAGAGTAAGCACTCTGCTAGATAAACTATGATAACACATTTGTAATGACTCCCCGAGCATTTTGCTATGAACATCATCAATTTGCACATACTAGACAAGAAGTAAGCAGATACTGTGAAATCCTAGAATCGGTCAGACTCACACCTGGGAGAAAGAAGTGTCCTATGTAACACCTTCTTATCCACCTCTTGGCTTCTGTAACGCTTGTAGAAGGCACCACGCATTCGATTGTATATAAAAGATGGACACACTGAAGCCTCGAGCTGACCATTTTAAACATCAGCTGAACAAAGTGAGGGGTCAATCTGACTGTGCAGTGTTTCCCTCCGCCTTCCTACAGCTCACAGATGTGACTACAGAGACAAAAGCAGGGAAAATGATTTGTGACCATGAACCGATTGAAGTAAAAAAATACAGCTTCAATTGTTTTTACTTCTTTCCCCTTGATTTCTGGGCTGGAGATCTTGCTGAGAAACTGAGGACCAATGCAGGCTCATGTGAAAATCAAAAGGTAACCCAACAAGTAAAGCATGCTGTGATTTATCCTCAGAATCATCAGGAAGGTTTTTACTGAGTCCTTAAATCAACAAAGAGGTTTTTCAAGTTTTTGTGCAGCTGCCCCCTGCTGGCCTTTGGAAAGAATGCAGGCAACACGTGCATCTTTTATATACAGTCTGTGGTAGTAAACGGGCCATTTTCAAAGTTTAGGGAGGTCAAAACAGTAGGTTGGATTGAGGACTAACTGACAACAGTGCAGTACTTGCTTTACTGTCTCTCAGTCACGAGGCACATTTTTTACTCATGAGTGCTACAAATACAGAGGTGTGGATGCCAAATAACCAGATGTAGTCTGAAGGTCTGACGTCTAATAACAGTAATAATAGGTTTCAGATATAAAACAAGAGTGTACACCTGAATCTACTAAATATTGTTTCCACAAAGAATGAAGCTCTGGTGAGAAACCGCTGTTTTAGCGAGGAGGTGACATTGTTAGAAGCGTTTACACGGGACAAACAGCAGGTGCGTGAGTGCACGAAGTCGTCACTATCAAACCAACATAGGCAACGAGACTCCACAGAGCCGTCATCCTGTCGAACTCTGATGAACTTGTGTGAATAATGTTAAAGTGTAGTTTGAGAAGAAAGTGATACCTGCCCACAAACCATCACGTAGGTTAGTCTGTGGGGATGGTTAGTGGCTTTCCTGGTTCAGAAAGCTGCTTAAAAATGGAGCTCTAGTCCTGCTCGAGCAGACCTCTAATCTTAAAAAGAAAAACTTTGAGTAGACCACCTGTCACTCCAGTGTGAATCACAGCCATGCTTTACTGAAAATTCAGAGGGTTACAGTATTTTTCCACCACGCTCCCTTCAGGTGTGTCAAGCTGTAGGTTTATGAAGGATGTAAAGCTGCAAATTAACTTCAAATTTCACTGACATCATGATCGCCCTGAAACAGCTTCAAACTGCAGTTTGAAGAAACAGCAACCAGTGTTTGATAGTTTCTGCAACAGGTCTGTGAGGTAGCTACAGATGATTATCACTGTACTGTAATTAGCTTTGGGAGATTATCTACATGATTGACTGATGCCCACTTCTGTATGGTGATGTGTAAAACCACTGCCTGATGTGTTTATAACTTTATTACATTACAAATAAAATCCACTATTTTGATATTTGTCCATATATTGAAGGAAATTTTGCGTGTCCACAGTGATCACTCCTTAGTTGGAGCGTAATAGCTGCACTGACTGAAGATCACACTAAAAAGCACACAGGGCACTACACCCTATGTGACCAGACCACGTCTAAAGAATGAAAAACAATACAGACATTATTGTGTGTTGTGCCAAACGAGCTGTGATGAGACGTCTTCGTTCAGCTTCCTCAGTTTTTCAGTTGATTCATGGAGTTAAGGTGGCCGACGCGCTGTGAAAAAAACCTTTGCATGCAGGACTGTCAGATACGATCGGGGCTCAAATTTAAAAGGTGCTGTTCACAAGCATACATGGTCCAAGATGTTGTCTTCAACAAGGCTTGGATTTAAAAACAAATATACAACAGATCATACTAACATGTTGAAAGTAAAATCACAAAGACTCACGAATCTAAACTCATTTTAACTCCAAATGATATTAAACATAGGGCGGCACGGTGGTTAGCACTGTTGCCTCACAGCAAGAAGGTCCTGAGTTCAATTCCCCATCAGGTCGGGGTCTTTCTGTGTGGAGTTTGCATGTTCTCCTTGTGTTTGCGTGGGTTCCCTCCGGGTACTCCGGCTTCCTCCCAACGTCCAAAGACATGCAGCTTGTGGGGATAGGTTAATTGGATAATCCAAATTGCCACTAGGTGTGAATGGTTGTCTGTCCCTGTGTGTTGGCCCTGCGACAGACTGGCGACCTGTCCAGGGTGGACCCCGCCTCTCGCCCTATGACAGCTGGGATAGGCTCCAGCGCCCCCCGCAGCCCTGAAAAGGAGAAGCGGAAGTGAATGGATGGATGGATGGATGATATTAAACATAAGAGATTCCTTTTGGAAACGATGGATCAAACTTCCTGTCATGTATGATATTATGAGGCTCCATTTACACCTATGCCGTGAATATTGGTGAAAGCACCGTTAATGGTATGTAGAGGTTTTAAAGAAAACTGTGCTGCCATCCTGACAAGTCTGAGTGTCAGACGATAACAAACACATTGTGCATGTATCCCAACAGCACGAGTGTGGATGTGGATTTAAAAAAGGAGAAGATGAAGAATAAAGGAGACCTTACCAGGCAAACTTTATTAATCCACAGCAGTAAACAGTGCCTTTCTACTGTCAATACTAAACTACCTCTGGTACTTCCACTCACACCTAGAAAACCAGATAACTTGAATTATATATTAACAAATACCGACATTAGAAACTTAAATCATATCATACAAAGTCTATTCTGAATCATTCCTGCAGAGGGAGCTGTGCCCCTGCGTTCTTCCTTTCAATAAGCACAGGCTTGGGTAAATATCTGCTGTTGGACGTGCCAGGTTTCATACAAACACAGTCTGCATCTTCCATCAGAGTAAAACTGCAAAGTGAATCGAAGTCCAACTGGAGCGTCCGGCTCGTTTATCGTGCTGGTTCAACTGCAGGAGCGCACGCACACGCACACGCACGCACACGCACACACACACACACACACACACACACAGCTGTTAGTTTGGATGAACCTTACAATAATTCAAGAAACGAAAGAAGACTTACTGTACGAGGAGATGTCTATCTCTTCTGGCAGCTCGCCGATGTTCACCTCGAAGCGGTCCTGGACATCGTTGAGTGTGCGGGCGTCACCTTCATCAGACACAAATGTGATGGCCAGGCCTTTCGTTCCAAACCTGCCTGCTCGAGCAACCTACACCAAGACACCAGTGCAGCTGACCACATTACTCAGTCAGGATCACAGACTACAGCACAGTAGGGCAAACTAATCACAGTACAGGATAAGTATGGGACAATATAGTATGGCTTTGATAGAAGCCCTCTCCGTGTTTTTCTGGTATAGGTTAATGTTAGTGAATAAATGCTGTCCCAGAGTATTTGATCTGCCTTTTCTTTTCCGTACCCGTGTTTGTCCTATGAAGTCCTCTTTCAACAGAAGACTTCCTTCCAGCCTGGGTGCAGGACAGAGACCCCCCTTGCCACTCTTGGGATAAGCTACTACCTGCTCAGCTGATTATAACATTAATAAATGCCTCACACCCGTGTCTATCTAATAAAGAGCTCAGATTCCTCAGCATCTCCTTAAATATGTATTTGTACATCATCCAATAAGTCACAAATATCACCTTGTGCAGCTTTCACATATATTTCTATTACTCTTTTAGCCTGTCAACAACACATGGATAGTCTCACCCTGTGAAGGTAAGTGTCAGAGTCTTCTGGCATGTCATAATTGAAGGCAATAATGACTCTCTCAATGTCCATCCCTCGTCCAAACAGGTTGGTGGCCACCAGGATTCGCCTCTGGAAGTCCTTGAACTGCTGGTAGCGAGACAAACTACAGAGGACAATAAGTGAAGCTTAGTCTGTGTGTCACATATCCTCACATTGAAAGTTTCATTATGTGTGTATTGGGCTGCTGAGTTGATCAACATCCCCACACTACTGTGCAAATGTCCCCACTCATGTCTTTACATTTTTTTCTCCCAATGACACAGACCTTCTTGGAACTTTGGAAGTGGTCTTGAGTAACAGCTCTCCAGCTTCCTGAAAGACTTTCAAAGTTTTTCTTGGACATCAGCTTTTTTTAAGTGTATTTATGGGATTTCTGGTCACCGACATCAGTCAGACACTGATGCTGGATGAGAAGGACTGGCTCGTAGTCTCCACTTTAATTTATCCCACAGGTGTTTGTGACAGGGTGTGGTTTCTGGCTCAGCTGCAGGGGAGGGGTGGAGCAGTGCATAGAGGAGGCTGAAGGCCACAGCTGTTCCTCATTGTTCCACCTTGTCTTTCCCTATTTAAGTAGCACGTTAAGTCCATGGGTGTAGAGACTGGAAGGCGCAGAGACAGAGGAGGAGCTGAGTCATGTGTTCTGTCAGGCAGAGCTAAGAACTCTGTGCAGGCCAGTCAAGTTCTTCCACATCAAAGCTGCTTATTTATATGGAGCTTGCTTTGTGGACTTGTTGATTATCTGACAGGAGGATCACAACGTGCGTCTTCAACATTGTGTGTCTGATAAGGTGATCGGCAACACGAGCACCACAAGGGACTGTCCTCTCCCCTTTCCTCTTCACCATCTACACCACAGACCTTTTACTTTTAGATGATCCTGCAGTGGTTGGATGCATCAGTGAGGGTGATGAGTATTGGGCTGTGGTCGAGCAGAATCATCTGCAACTCAGCGTAGCAAAGACCAACGGATTTAGGAGGACCGGGAAACCTGTGAGCCCTGTTTCAATCCAGGGGGTCGATGTGCAGGACTATAAATACCTCAGAGTACACCTGATAATAAATTGTAGTGGGTTAAAAACACCACTGCACTCTACAGGAAGGGCCAGAGTCGTCTCTGAGGTCTTCAACAGCTGTCGGACAACACACAGGTGTTTCTATGAGTCTGCTGGGGCCAGTGCTATCCTCTGTGCTGTTGCATGCTGGGACAGCAGGTTGAGGGTTTCAGATGCCAGCAGACATCCTGTCACTTGTACAGTTTCCTCAAATTTTTGTGAAGGACCCAATGCACACTATGCTAATATTTGTGGTCATCAATATGTATGGAAAGGATCAGGAGGTCCAACAGTGAGTGCCTACAGCCATCGGTAAAACAAGGTAGGGTGGGTGATGTTGTGGGGATGGAGCTAGACTTTGATAAGGTGGTGTCTGAGAGGCGGATGTTGTCCAAGGTCAGGACAATGCTGGACCTCCCACCCACTCATGATGAGCTGGTCAGTCACTGAGAGACTACGATTACCCATAATGCACCACTAAAGGACACAGGAAGTCATTCCTGTCTGTGGATATCTCTCTCCATCTAATGCACATCCTCTACAGTGAAAATAACAAAATTAAGTTTTACAGTAAAATGTCAGTTATATATATTTAATCTCTGTAATATTCTGGATATTTACAATTGAGTTATTTTATAATGGAGCTAAATCATGATAGTAAATGGACTGGTTCTTATAAAGCGCCTTTCTACTCTGAGCGCTTTACACAACTTGCCTCATTCACACAAGCATTTTCTTCGATGCTGTTTCTATGTAAGTGCTTTCTTACACACTGCCAATGCACTAAAACATACCTGGATATAAAAAACGCACACAGGACAGTCAGTCATGGCCTCCCCAAACCTTTGAATGTCCTTTGGGAAGCCTGGAGAACTGCTCCTGAGTACTCATAAAGGAAGCTGTCTCAGAGAGATCAGACTGTGTTGAAGAATACCGGATTCTGGCTTTTAATCTTGTCAGACCTGTACAGACTGTGTTTTAATGTACTGTATTTCCTTTTACGGTATGTTTGCACGTTTCAATATATGACAGCACCATTGTCTTAACAATGGTTGGCTCAAGACTTTTGCACAGCACTGCATCTTAGAGCACACAACACCATAAGAACTCATGTTTGCGATGGTATAATCATCACAACGCATTAATTTAACAAAATAAAAGTGTCTGAGAGTGAAAAAAATAAAAGCCTCCTGCTTCCTTCTTCATAATATTATTATATAGTAGAAAGCATAAAGATGTGGGGTCCTTACTTTACAAAATAAAGTACCAACTGTTGTTGTGATTTGGTGCTATATAAATAAAACTGAATCAAATTGGCCACAAGAAAGAGACTGCAGCTGCAGGGAGCTAAGCTCGCTGTCAGCTGATTACATTTGAGCCATTTCCTAAAGCTTCACACTGAGCTTGTTATCCTCTGCCAAAAGAACAAGTAGAGTGAACACAACATGGCAGTTCAGTGTTATCTGGAGTAATGAAATAGTAACAAACGTTTATGGCGTCACCGCTCTCGGTTACCGTTCCTCCTGAGGCATCCCTCGATGGATGGCAATCGCTGGAAAGTTCTGCTCCACAAGCAGCTGAGCCAGAGCTACACAACGCTGGACGGACTTCACAAAGATCACCACCTGAGCAGCACAGCGACACAATCACTCAGCTACAGTGGACATTAAGTCCTGTCGGCTTCCTGTGTGTGTCTGTTTCACTGTGTGCGCCCCTCGTCTGCACTTGGAGACAATCGATCATTAACAGCTATTTATTACTTTACTCTAAGTAGAATCAAAAAGTTTTCATGTAGAACAACACCAGGACAAAAGAGACAGAGAGAAACAGGACAGCACCATCAGCCATGCTTCTTGACACTCACTAGCGCTCGACTTGTTTCTTTGTTCAGTGACAAGCTCGCAAACTGCACAAGCAGAACCTGTTGGATTAGCAGTTATGACACTGCTGTCCTGTTGGTTTCCTCCACGTCCTGTTAACTCTGCTGCTGACATGGTAAAGACAGAACTCCAGTGAACTGTTGGCCCTGTTGTCAAAAATACATGATTCAGGTATTAAAGTCAGTACTGGGCTGATATCTAACAAATACTGGGTGGGCGCACCCCTCACTCTGGTGGACCCTCACATACTCACATGACCAAAGTATATTGTTTCCCTCGCTCCCTCACACTGAAGCATAGTAAGGCCTTTAAGAGGACCATTATACTTTTCTGTCTGTACACACACATACTGTACATATCTTAATAAGTATTTCTTTAACTGTAAATGTGAGATGTCGTCCTCTGGCACACAGCCTAACCCTAACCCTTCTTTCTGAGAGGTGTAGCCAATCAGAAGAAGAATAGAGCCTGGTTTCAGGAAGTTGATGAGCTGAGGGGTTGCACACAAGTAGCATAAATGACATTTATTTTGATCTTTGAAATAACTAATGCTTCTCTAGCAGGATCTGCAAGTGTGTCCCACAGTAACATGCTTGTAAGACATGAACATAAAACGCAGCAATCTAATTCCCATCAACAGAAAAGCAAACAGACAAAACAAAAATGTCCACAGGGGGGTTACACTGTGGGGAAGGTATGGTGTGGGTACCTGATTGAACTCTAGTGCGTCCAGGAGATCGAAGAGCTTTCTGTTTTTCTCATTATCCTTCAGCTTGACGTAGTACTGCTGCAGCCCATGCAGAGTTAGCTTGGTTTCGTCATCTACAAAGATTTCCATCGGCTGGACCGGCAGGAGTTTGAAAGGGAGGTTGGCAAGATTCAGGGAAGAGCACACAAAGAGAACATCAAACATAATAAAGTGGAAGTGAAAAGGAAGCAGCGAGGAGACGGAGGGAAGGCTTTGGTATAGGTAACACACACACACACACACAGTTGTGTTTTCATATCTCTGTGGGGACATCTTATTGACATAATGCTTTCCCTAGCCCCTTACCCTAACCATCAAAGATGAATGCCTGACCCTCAGCCTAAACCTAACCATGACCTAACTGTGACCCTCACACTAAAACAAGATTTTGAGCCTCGAAAATCCCTTCAAATTTGTGGGGACGGGAACTTTGTCCCTATAAGAGCTGTTAGTCCCCACAAGTATAGTAAAACTCCACTTTTTGGTCCCCAGAAAGATAAGTAAACACACACACACACACTTCTTTCTTGTGACTTGGACTCATGGAGGCTGAACATCGACTTGGACTTTGTTACCCACTGTTCCAGCAGGCGAAGGAGTAGTGGAGGTGTGGAGGGAGCGGGAAGAGGCATGGCAGATGAAAGTGAAGAGGCGTATTTACATCTTGCATGAACTTTCTGCAGACTGGGCGGATCTCTTTACTCAGGGTGGCGCTGAACATCATGACCTGCTTCTCGTGGGGAGTCATACGGAAAATCTCTTGGACATCTCTGCGCATGTCTAAGGAAGAGAACATTATTTACAGTGTATTACAAACTCATCTAGATGCAGTGACTAAAGATTCAATAATGATGACTGAAGGCCCTTTCACATATGCACGCGCTGCACTCTGGAACCCATTTGTGTCTATTGTTTGTGCCACACAATAATGATTTCCTGCTGCACCGAGCAAAGCACAGCACATGCACACTTGTGACGTATTTTTGTGCGAGGAACAGAAACGAAGAGTACTGCTGCGCTGAGTTCAACCACATGATGAAGGAGAACATTCTGTACATATCAGAGTTTGGTGAACTGTTTGCCGCAGGTTCTGCAGACCTCAGAGAGAAGCAGTGTTGTGGAAACGACACACTCTTCACCAGCTGGGATAGTTACAAAGTTTTCTTCTTTATGAACCAGCGATACATGTTTTTATCAACATTTGACCATAATAGGACACAAACTCTCGTCAGAGAAACGCGTTTTGAAATGACAAGCAGTGAGTGCAGCGCACGGCCGATGTAAAAGGCCCTTCAAAAGAAAACATTTTTGCTTCACTTCGTACCAAATGAATTGTTAAAAACACCAAGAAATCTATGACATCACATTTGAAACAATTAATTCCTAAAGTTTTTGTACAGTATTGAACAATCATATCACCCAACATCTAAAACTGTTGTTACACTGAGAAAAATAAACCCTAAGAGCTGCCAAGTCTGCGTAGGTTCTCGGTCATCCAGGTCATAGTAATCTAAGGAGCTATTAAACAAATATGTAAGACTGCTTTCTTCCATTTGTGCAACATCTCTAAAATTAGAAATATCCTGTCTCAGAGTGACGCTGAAAAACTAGTTCATGCATTTATTACTTCCAGGCTGGACTACTGTAATTCATTATTATCAGGAAGTCCTAAAAACTCCCTGAAAAGCCTTCAGCTAATCCAAAATGCTGCAGCAAGAGTCCTGACAGGGACTAGAAAGAGAGCAGATTTCTCCTGTTTTGGCTTCCTGTTAAATCCAGAATTCAAAATCCTGCTCCTCACATACAAGGTCTTAAATAATCAGGCCCCATCTTATCTTAATGACCTTGTAGTACCATATCACCCTATTAGAGCACTTCGCTCTCGCTCTGCAGGCCTACTTGTTGTTCCTAGAGTATTTAAAAGTAGAATGGGAGGCAAAGCCTTCAGTTTTCAGGCCCCTCTTCTGTGGAACCAGCTTCCAGTTTGGATTCAGGAGACAGACACTATCTCTACTTTCAAGATTAGGCTTCAAACTTTCCTTTTTGCTAAAGCATATAGTTAGGGCTATGGCTGAGCCATATTATACCATTCACAGTAATACCGGTACAATGTTAGGCAACGATAAGAAAATGAAATATCGCGATAGAATATGGGTAAAACGCGCATGCGCAGTGCCTTTGCTTTCATGCGCACATGGCCGATTGTTGAGTGAAACGGATGAACCAGAATTGGTTTGTAAAAATGGTGCAACTTCAGTGATGTGGAACTGGTTTGGTGTTTGTCCGTCAGATACACAACAAAGCACTTTTTTTTGTAGAACATGCAAGCGGGCCGTCGTTATTACCGTATTTGTCGGACTAAGGTGCTCTTAAATCTGGGAGTAATCTGGGTCCTAAACTCCGTCTCTTCAGGTCCCAAAGTCAAACGAACACTGCAGCATCACTGAGAGTTAAAAACTGTCTAAATTCTTTCATCTTTAATAAAACGATCAGCATTGCTGCTTTACCAGGTGTAACTATGAAGTTTAACTTCCAGGCATCCATGAAAACAGAATTTATGACATTTAACAGTTAGAAGTTAGCAGGAAGCTAGCGGAAGTTAGCTCGCTAGTTACCTAAGCATGATATAGCATGTTCTGACTGAGAGATTTCTCAAACATTCAAACGTTCAGCTCTGCTATCACTTCCAACATAAATGAAGACAGAAAACTAAACAGCAGTGACGTTTGTAGGGTTACTGAAGTTGGGCTAGCTGCTATATAATGATGTGATACGTGATCGCTAGCTACACAGCTATGTTAGCATAACAAACACAGTGAAGCTGCATAATGAATGCTAACACTTTTGCACTCGATAAAAGTTAACGTGAAGGTTCCTGATAGTTAGAGACAAATGCAATCGCATGGCAGGATGCTGTAAACGGACCAAACTTCAGTCAGGAGAACAACTGAGATAATCCATCCACAATACAAGGTTAGTCATTAATATACTGCAACAACATGGGAATAGAGCAGCTGTGATAGAATACAGCAGTAATCAATGGTACAGAAGTGGAGGAAGCAAGAAGAATGAGTTTAATAAAGTTTGACTGCTTTGTTTTGCTTAATGTGTCTTATAATCTCGTGCACCTTATGGTCTGAAAAATACATATTAGACTTTTTTTATTTGGCACACTGCAGTTTAATGTAGCAAAGCAGCTCTTTTTAACTTCAGTGGATATTATACAGGATGCTCAGGATATGTCAGCAAATTTGCATTTGCACTGCTAAATTTTTATATAGCTTTAATGCACATAAAAAACAGCTGCTTGTTTAAGTGAAAATAAATGGATGGTTTTTTTGCACTAGTAAAGTTGTGGAGTTGTATTTTGTCTCGCCTTAACTATATCGTCAGTTATATCGTTATCACAAATTTTCAAATATATATCGTGTTAAATATTTTCGGCCATATCGCCCTGCTCTAGTTAGGGCTGGACCAGGTGACCCTGAATCCATCCTCCCTTAGTTATGCTGCAATAGGTGTAGGCTGCTGGGGGATTCCCATGATGCACTGGGTGTTTCTTCTTCACTCACTATGTGTTAACAGACCTCTCTGCATTGAATCATATCTGTTATTAATCTCTGTCTCTCTTCCACAGCATGTCTTTATCCTGTCTTCGTTCTCTCACCCCAACCAATCACAGCTGTCGGAGGTTTCTTCCTGTTAAAAGGGAGTTTTTCCTTCCCACTGTCGCCAAAGTGCTTGCACATAGGGAGTCATATGATTGTTGTGTTTTTCTCTGTATTTATTATTGTAGGGTCTACCTTACAATATAAAGCACCTTGAGGCGACTGTTGTTTTCTGGTACTGTATATATAAAACTGAACTGAAAGCAACTGGATTTCTTTAAGTTTCTTGAAGACGTTTCACGTCTCATCCGAGAAGCTTCTTCAGTTATAAAACAAAATGGTGGAGATTCCCAGGTATTAATCCTTAGTAGAAGTTGTCCCTTAACCTCTTAAGACCTGAACTCTTTCATGGCATGCATTTTTAATTTTTCTTTGCTATTTGGGCTGATTTAGACCCGATGGATGTAAAAACAAAGAATTACCAGAATTTTTTTATACCCGATTTTTGTTTCTGAGATAAATTAGATCCACATATGAGGACATTTGCTTTACATTTGGATAGAACAGTGGCAGTATAATGTCCTCGTAAGTGGATATCAGGCCCTTGTAGAACAAAATTTTGTATTTTGGTCTAGACAACCCAAAATGTGATGTCCACATATGTGGACGTCAGGTCCTAGGAGGTTTAGAAGGTTGTTGACCCACTATTGATCATTTCCTACACCACATGCGCCATGGTGAGAAAAAAGGCGTGGATTATTATCGTCAGAGTTTTGATGCATGCTCAATCATCCAGGTAAGTAAATCCCAAAGGTTGATTCCGTTCACCTGGACGTTTTGTGGGAGAAACATTTCGTTACTCGTCCAAGTGACTTCTTCAGTCTCAGCTGACTGCAGGTTTCCAACCTTATAAACAGCACATTTACACAATGAAGGAAACTATTGGTGGGTGAACAATGGGCTGGGAGGTCATGACCATTAATCAAAGACCATTGATCAGTGGCCATGAGTCCCATTCACAGAGAGCTGGGGAATGGCTGCAATCACAGCATTGTAAGATGGTGACAGATGCACCCTTAGGCCCCTCCTCCATTCAGAGATGGTCTTTCCCTTTTCACGTAAATGGCCTCCTTGACTTGGTGTTCAAACCAGCGTTCCTCCCTGTTCAGGATGTTACATCCTCATCATTGAAAGTGTCCACTGGCCTGTAGGTGTGCATAGACTGCAGAGTCCTGGCCACAGTTCGAAAGAACATCGTCTTCTATTTTCATGGCCGGTACTTCCTGTCCACCTTTCAGTTCTTGTCTTGAAGTGAATTGTTCCTCTTTTACAAAGACACTTTTCGCAGTTACAACCAGACATGACTAACCTCTTTCCTATAAATACATCTAACTCATGTGTTTGTGTATGTCACGACCTCACTCAGCCTCTATGTCACCTCTCACTTACAGTCTTGTCCTTAAATGCTCTTTCTCAATTCACCTGTTGCACTTCTGACCTTTCACCAGAACAGAGGCTCATCCTAACTGAGACTATGTATATGTCATCTACTAAATAAATGTTTTAATCAAGAGCCTCTACTAAGAGCTTAATAAAAGAATATAAAAGTATAACAGACAATTTGAATAACCTAGTAATTCAAATAGCCTCGTCTAATCTGCTCCTCAGAATAACTTAGACTCTGCTTTCACTTCTGCAAACTCTCTGCAACTTCCTGTCAGCCTGCAACTTATTCTTTCTAAAACACACACACTGTTTAAACCTCTGAATACAATATCAATGCTGCAGATTCTATTATTAATGCAAGGGTACTGATGATAATTATTTAACAATAGCAGTAAAATAATTTCCCTGCTCCACACCCTCCAAAGAACACTGCCACCTGCAGGAAAACAAGCATACATCATACTGTTTGAGCTGGGAGAAACTGATGTATGAGTTCAAGCTGCTTTACCTTAACAGTGGGCATGTACTTTGAAAATCTCTCATATTCCTTGCTGATCTGAAACGCCAGCTCTCTGGTATGGCACATAACCAGGACAGAGACCTGCACATAAAAATGGCAAAGATTAAGATATAGTACCAACTTAATTCACTATGGGATGTATTTACTGCACTATGGTCCTTGAAAACACGATGCATCTGTAAATCTGAATGTACGCTGTTCTTTTTTCCCTGCACGCTACTGCAAGTCTTTCGTTCAAACTCAAACAGCCCAAAACTCTTTACCAAGCGTTCTGCCAAGTGGATGGTAATAATTAAGAGTGACTCAAACATTTTTCTCTCATCTGGATTTTAGCAGTTGGTCAGTCAGGAGTTGTGAAAAGCCCTAATCACAACATCATGGAGTCAACTGACTCTGTGACTGTCAGGTAAAAGTCGGCATTTTACACAAAAGACACAACGCAATATCCCGAGTTTGCTTTCAGATTTGTTTTTGAGCCTGTTTATCTAGACATGAAGGCTCCACAAGTACAGAACAAATGTCCTCATTAGCTAAAAATCAGCTGTAAGTAGAATCTAAAATGAAAATAAATGCAGAAAAGCAATTAAATGACAGTTGTTACAATATAATAAAACACCTTTTAGCTCTGTCCTGGCTGCTACACCTCACCTGACCGGTGATGGGCTCTAGCTGCTGCAGGGTGGCAAGAACAAACACTGCTGTCTTCCCCATCCCAGACTTGGCTTGACAGAGCACATCCATACCCAGGATTGCCTGAGGGATGCATTCATGCTGAACTGGAAGGAGAACACATGAGCAGGAGAATTTCAGCTCATTCAGGATGCAGCAACCAGAAACCAGTACTCAAGCCATTTCTTTCACTCCCAGTTCAATGCAAAGTTACCTTTAAAATCCTTTAATTATTTCACAAAGCTCTCTGTGGTTTGCCCTCCAGTATACTTTCTCAGGGTCTTTCAGAGTCAGAACTCTCAGGTCATCACATGCACATCTCTGAACTGTTCCCAGACTTAGGTCTACGGGTGCTTTCAGCATCTGTGGTCCTGTTCTTTGGAGCAAGCTGCCTGCTGACCTGAGGTAAGTTACAGTGGCTTGCAAAAGTATTGGGCCCCCTTGAACTTTCCCACATTTTGTCACATTACAGCCACAAACATGAATCAATGTTATTGGACTTCCAGGTGAAAGACCAACACAAAGTGGTGCACACGTGAGAAGTGGAACGAAAATCATACATGATTCCAAACATGTTTTACAAATAAATAACTGCAAAGTGGGGTGTGCGTAATTATTCAGCCCCTGAGTCAAAACTTTGTAGAACCAGCTCTTGCTGCAGTTCCAGCTGCCAGTCTTTTAGGGTCTGTCTCTACCAGCTTTGCACATCTACAGACTGAATCTTTGCCCATTCTTCTTTGAAACAGCTCCAGCTCAGTCAGATTAGATGGACAGCGTTTGTGAACAGCAGTTTTCAGATCTTGCCACAGATTCTGGATTGGATTTAGACACCAGACAGGTCAGGGATAAAGTTATTGAGACATTTAAAGCAGGCTTAGGCTACAAAAAGATTTCCCAAGCCTTGATCATCCCACGGAGCACTGTTCAAGCCATCATTCAGAAATGGCAGGAGTACGGCACAACTGTAAACCTACCAAGACAAGGCCGTCCACCTAAACTCACAGGCCGAACAAGGAGCTGATCAGAAATGCAGCGAAGAGGCCCATGGTGACTCTGGACAAGCTGCAGAGATCTACAGCTCAGGTGGGGGAATCTGTCCACAGGACAACTATTAGTCGTGCACTGCACAAAGTTGGCCTTTAGAAGCTGCTCTGGTCAGATGAGACCAAAATGAAAAACGCTATGTGTGGAGGAAAACTAACACTGCACATCACTCTGAACCATCCCCACTGTCAGATATGGTGGTGGCAGCATCATGCTCTGGGGGGGCTTCTCTTCAGCAGGGACAGGGAAGCTGGTGTATGTAACAGCGGTTGTACCAGTTCCCAATTTTCCTCCTGGCACCAGTTACTCACCCTCAGACGGATGTTCAAACCCACAATCCACTATGGCTCTCAGCAGTTCAGGTTTCAGCAGAAAGTCTCTGAATCCAGAGGAGTGAATGGACACATAGGAGCCCTTCACTTCCTCCTTCCTTATCAACATCTCACTTGCACCTCCAACATCTCCAACCCCTCCGGCCTCCACCTCATCATCTTCATAGTCCAACAGCTCGTTATCTACGTCGTTTTCTGTCATCCTGACCCTGCTGCGAAACGAGAAAAACAAATGTGACGTATGAAACTTCAGGAACAAAGAGCTTTTAAACTTTCGCAGTACTAGAAGGTTCAACATGGCCAAAGTTTTAATTATTGGAGTCAGCATGTGTGCAAATAAGAGCCAGCAGCTTAGACTTCAGAAGGTTGGGCTTGTTTTACTCCTGGTTTGGAGACGTCAGTCAGAGCAGATGTCCTTAATCTAGCTATCTCAAGCTCATGCTCTGAGTGCAGCAGCCCAATCCCACCTCCCAAAGTCAAATCCTAATCAACTTCATTGTTATTATACTGACAATTAGACAAACACCATTAACCCAGGTATCCAAGTCCATAGGAAAAACGCAGGACATCATTCCATACAATGCAGCGTATAAATGAATGACACACGTGCAGCTCATCACTGTTTCAGAGAAGAACCTTTTCCATTTTTACTAAACAAACTATAATCAGAGAAAAAAAATGCAGAGAAGAATAAAAAAAGATTCTCCACCCTCCTCAAAAAATACATAAAAATTAGAGAAGAAAGGGGAGAGAAAACAAATACGCAGAAAAATGTCAACAATGTTGAGAAATGATAAATTGATTTTTAGGCATTTAGCCATGTAGAGATAACTACTATGCCTGGCTCGACTTGAAACAGAGCAGTAGAATGGGGGAAAAGCTGATTTTTACTGACTTTGAACACACCTTGATTATTGGCGCCCCGTAGCGTCAATTTAGGGTTTACAGAGAATTGTCCAATAAAAGAGAAAATATCCATGAAGTGCTTTGTTGATGCTAAACTGCTTAGCTACTTGCAGACATGCATCATAACAAAACAAAAGATAAATGAAGTGGGCTTACAGAAGCAGGAGAGCACACCAGGTGCCAGTCCTGTCCGCCAACAACACAACAGCAAGGCTATAAGTTGAACATCATCACAACTGGATAACAGAAGCTTGGAAACCGTTGCCTGGTTTGATGAGTCTGCTACAACGCTTGCATGGGAGGGTCAGAATTTAGCACAAACAACATGAGTGTACCCTATTTCCCGGACTACAAAGCGCACCTGAATATTAGCCGCACAAGCTAAAATCAGGGGAAAATCCTGTTTTGTACATACATTAGCCGCACCTGACTAAAAGCCGCAGGTGTTTCAATGTTGACTCATCATATGTAAGAGAATATGCACAAAGGGAATTGTCATGAAAGAGATGGCTGTTTGGAGACACACCCCTTTTATTAATATTTTGAAAAACAAGTTATGGGTACATATTTGCACATGTAGTACATAACAGTAGCCTACAGCACACCAGAAAAATAGATCCGGCCTACCTTTTAGGTTCAGGTGCAGTGACACAGCTTTAACAAGACAAGTCAGTCATTCACCATCTTTCTCTTCTTCCTGCACACTAAAACCACCAAAGTCCTCTCCTCCAGTGTCGGAAACGAACAGGCTCAGGATGGCTTCGTCATCCACTCTCCGCTTCTCTCCTTCGTTGTCACTTTCAAAACCAAAGAAATCCTCGTTGTCAGTATCAGAGTCGAACACCCTCAGAAGGGCCGTGGCGGTGTCCTCCTCTCCATCATGCAGCAGTCCAGCCCTTCAAATCCGTTGGTGATCGTGGATGTTTTCACACTTTTCCACGCTGTCAGATTCCACCGGTGGAGTTGAGCATAACTTGCTTTTCGCAAGTTTATCGCCGCTCGTCATCCACGCCTCCTGCTGAACGCGTAGCGCTACTTTGAAGTTTGTTTTTCGCGCTACTTGTACAGCACTATGTTGCCTGGCGGATGGACATGTGACCAACATACCACTCTTGAACCCCGATACTGTGTGTCTGATCACATGCCCTTCCGCCAGGCAACGTAGTGCCGTACAACAGCGGAACAAACAAAACAAATCCTCTTATGATATGACAAAAATCATGGACAACCCTTAGAAAAGCCGCACCTGACTAAAAGCCGCAGGGTTCAAAGGTTGTGCAAAAAGTAGCGGCTTATAGCCCGACAATTACGGTATATAAATACGTACTTTATTGATCCCACATGTTTGTGTTACAGCAGCATGATTACAAATAGGGCTGCCACGATTACGTCGACTATCAAAATCATCGTCGACTAATTTAATAGTCGACGCGTTATTTAAAGCTTTGTAAGATCCTGAAAGACGCAGGAATAAGTAGCAGGATTTAAGAGTGTGATAACGGACTGAAACAGAAGATGGCAGCACTGCATGTACAAGGATGCCAGCTGTCGTTAAACCCCGAAGAAGAAGAAGAAGCTGTGTCCGGCAGCTGTGTCCAAATTCAGGGGGCGCATCCTTGGGAGGCCGCATTTGTGAAGGCTTTCCAAATTCAAAGACTTCTGCAAATGCGGCCGACAAATGCGTCCTACTTTTCCCCAGATTTGAAGGATGGGTCGGGCGTATGGCCCAACATATCCCAGAATTCATAGCACAGCTCAGCCAATTCCAGTTTCCAACAATGGCGTATTTTCAAAAGCGCTCCGACGTTTTCGGAGACGTCTGTTACCCACTAGCTCGATAGCTAGCCGGGGGCTAGGTCACTAGAGCCGTGAGAACACCGGACTCCCGGCAGATCATTTTCAAACCCACCGCCGTCTTTCGCTACTCAGGTTAAACACGATATATGAGTCACTTAGATAACTTAAAATGTTGTTGTTTGGCTTTTTTCAGTATTTTATTTGTTCCTGAGTAAATCGGTTTGGCTGAGATTAAAGTTTTTACACAGCTGAATAAACGTCAAGCAGACAGCTGATTATCAGAAGTGTGAGATGCTCGAGAATTTATTCCGGTGTCCTGTTATATTTTAGATAGAAGGAGTTTATTAAACTTCACCGAAACAATCTGCAGATTTCATTAAACTTTAATAAACTATCATCATGTCTTTATTTGTAGTTAGCACCTGAAACACTTCAAGCTGTAAGCTAATGATAGTTATATGAGAGCAGATGCTGCTGGTGCAATAAGCTGTACCTGTACGTCCAATGGATGATGATCTGATTAGTCGACTAATCGCAAAAATAATCGGTGACTAGTCGACTATCAAAATAATCGTTTGTGGGAGCTCTAATAACAAATATGAGTAAAAAAATAGAATCTACAATAAACAACAAATGAACAACACAGTTATATGAAAGTGCCACGGGTGCCTGTAAAGGTCTTGTACTATACTGATGCTCGATAGATACTTAACCTGCACTCTCTCTCTCTCTCTACACACACTTAAAGTAAGACTGACATTGTGTAAGAGAGAATTACAAACTGCATTAAAATAAATAAATAAATAAAATAATATGTACACTATAAATCTAAGAAAAACAGCTCCATGCAGGAGCAATACTAAAATATGTAGCTGACTGGTGTGTTCACAGAATGAAGAATTATGGTGGTGGTGGGGGGGGGGATCAGTGGGAGGAGCTCTGCTGTCTCCAAACTGTGGAGTAGAGCGGATGTGATGGGTTATCCTTGATGGAGATGAGTGTGACCTCTGACCCTCACTGACTCAAACACCTCCAAATTCTGACCGAGGTGCTTCCAGGCTTTTGAATTAGTGTTTAAATCTTGCTGGCAGTGATGCTGCCCCTTCAGCAGACAGCAGCAGAATAGATGCACTCTCTACCACAGGATGTTAGAAGATCTCCAGCATCTTGCTGCACACATTAAAGGATCTGAGCTTCCTTAGAAAGTAGAGTCTGCTCATCCCCTTCTTGTACACAGCATCACCGTTGGGCCTTCAGTCCAATCTGTCATTCAGGTGACTGTGGAAACCCAGTATTACTAACCACCACATCAGACAGGTTGGCCCACAGCCGTACAAACTGAGGCCTCTCAGACAGATAGTGAGGAATACAGGAGACAGCAGAATGGATCCATCCTGGGTTGTATCAGCAGCTCATGGTGTTGCTGTAGTAATGGCCTGGAGGATAATTTATTGGCATGGTTTGTGGCCCTTAGTATCAAATGAGCATTGCTTAAATGCCACAGCCTGCCTGAGTACTGTTGGTGACCATGTCCACCCCTTTGGGGGATAGCACACCATGTCACAAAGCTCAGATAATCTGAGACTGGTTTTTTGAACATGACAATGAGTTCACTGTACTTAAACGGCCTCCACAATCACCAGATGTCAAGCCAATTGAGCACCTTTGGGAGATGGTGACAAATCTGCAGGAACTGTGTGATGTTATGATGTCCACATGGGCCACAGTCTCTGAGGAAATGTTTTCAGCACCTCGTTGAATTGTTGCTACAAAGAATTCAATCAGTACTAACAAAGTGTACAAAGGTTACAAAGTGTTTTGAGTAAAAGCAGAATACTGGTACTGTCACACTGGTGCCTATCCCAGCTGTCTTAGGGCAAGAGGCAGGGTACACCCTGGACAGGTCGCCAGTGTGTCACAGGGCTAACACATAGACACAGATAACCAATCACACTCACGGGAAATTTAGAGTTTCCAGTTAACCTAACCCCACTAACTGCATGTCTTTGGATTGTGGGAGGAAGCCGGGGTACTCAGAGAAAACTCACGCAAACACAGGGAGAACATGCAAACTCCACACAGAAAGACCCCGGCCTGATGGTGGAACTGAACTCAGGACCTTCTTGCTGTGAGGCAACAGTGCTAACAACTGTGCCACCCTGCAAAATTTTTTTATATTGCATAAATGCCAGAATAGTGGTGAGTGTCTAACATGAGGCACCAACTTTTACAGCAGGCTAGATTTTCTATAAGGATTCCAGTGATGTCCACCACCTCAGTTTGAAAACATGAATCAGTCCACTGTGCTAAAAATCAATTGCCTGGTTTCATTTTGAAGGAATATTCCGGAACTTTTATTTTTATTGTCGCTGAATATTAAATAGCTATAACCACACGCGCAGTTATGTTTTGACTTTTGAAAGTTCAAATCCAGCAATACTGATGTCTTTAAGATTTCTTCATCACACTGCAGATCATTACCGACATGAAACTACGGACGCCATAAAACTGGGACCATCCCTGATCTGTTATTTACTCGGGCTCGTCTGACATTACGGCAGCTGACGTAAACACAGCGCACGTGAGTGGCCGTTTTAGCAATAACCGTAAAAGCAAATCCCAAGTATTCTAAACAGCTAGCTGTCATTAGCTCAGCGGCTAACAAACAACTCGTCACATCTCACTGGAACATCTCACGGCTCAACATTAAACTTCAGAGAGGTGACAGTCATGTTGCCGCAGGTACTGATAACGTGCACTGCCTACAGTTCTTTTAATAATCGACATACCTTCACTACGAGAGAGAAAAGTCAACGTCTGTTTAAAGTAAAGCGCGATTGTTAGCGCGTCACAATGACGTGTAGAATGCGACGGACAACCATCCGCTGTAGGACCCGACTGTGTGTAACCATGCAGATGCCAGGCTGAAAGTAACAACAGGGAGTCTTTGCTATAAACCGCGTCTTGTTTAGATTGCCAACCCTGTAAAGACATTAAACGGTAAGTCATCAAAGTGTTTTGTTAAAGCTGAAGGCTGACGACGAAAGCTGAACACATCGTTAGTTGACAGTTGCGGATTTGATCGATCTTCACGTGTTCAAGTGCCACGCGCGGTGTTAGACAACAAAACAACATTACCGCTTTAACTTATTTTGGAAGGTAAGCTCTAAAATATGAATCGACTAAGCAAAATAAGTCAGTATAAATTTTCATTCGATTCCATTTTACAGTTATTAATCGTATCAAAATGTATAACAATAATACTTCGCATGAAACAGAGATGTCGTGTTTTGGTGGTGGTCCGAACTTCTGCCCAGAGTGTGGGAATGTTCTTCCTCTCCCAGGAATACCGGACGTAGTGTGCTGCCCCGGCTGCTCCTTTAGGATCCCTGTATCAGGTAAATTTCATATCAGAGTTTATGTGTGAGCATGAGCAGCAGAGATTTTGCTGCTGTCTCACTTTTTGTTTTTCTCATTTCGCTTCCATCTTGATATTCCTGTGATATTTATACAGCCTGTACAAATGAAGCGGCAGAGCAGCTATCTGAGAGCTATCTGCGAGCTATCTGCTGTCCATCTTTGGATCATTTTAGTTTCTTGCAGCAAGTGATTGTATTTTTATAAGCTCAATATACAGTATTGTGGCAAACGGATTCACTCACTCATCCAAATCACTGAATTTGGTGTTTCAGTCACTTCCATGGTCACAGGTGAATAAAATCAAGCATCCAGGCATGCAGGCCGCCTCTACAAACATTTGTGAAAGTATGGGTCGCTCTCAGGAGCTCAGTGAGTTCCAGCATGGTAACGTGATAGGATACCACTACATGTGGCCTTCAGATTAAATCAGAACAGTGTGTAAAGTGTGATGGGTTTCCGTGACCACCAGCTGCATCCAAGCCTTACATCACCAAATGCAATGCAAAGTGCTGGATGCAGTGGTGTAAAGCACGTGGACTCTAGAGCAGTGGAGACCTGTTCTCTGGATTGATGAATCACGCCTCTATTTCTGGCCATCCCATAGATGAATCTGGGTTTGGTGGTAGCCAGGAGAGCGGTGTTTGTCTGAATGCATTGAGCCAAGTCTAAAGTTTGGTGGAGGGGGGGGTTTATGGTGTGGGGTTGTTTTTAAGCACTGATAACACATTAGTGAGTGATAAGTGCACAGATGATTTCTTCTCTGCTTATTCAGAGTTCTCAGGTCAGGAGATCTATTCTGCCGTGGTGTTTAACCCTGCGGAGCAGACGGCTGTGTCTCAGGATGAGGAGGACTCTGAAATGAAGGGTGCTGTGGTAAGTGCTGCCTGTTTGCTGCCTGCTGAGTGTACTGCATGATACCAACAGCTCTATGTGCTACTAATAAGCTCTCTGCTTCCTGTAGATTGACAGGCGCTGCTCTCGTTGCAACAAAGAGGGTATGATTTACCATACCAGGCAGATGAGGTCTGCAGATGAAGGACAGACAGTCTTCTTCACCTGCACACACTGCAGGTAATCATCACGAGGTCACCATATGTTGCTGCTGTTGTGATTGTTTGCTCATCGTTTCATTTTGTCCTTGTAGGTATCAAGAGAAGGAGGACTCCTAAGAAGAGGGTCCTTTGCATCTCCCCCCTCCTGCTTACTCGGCTATTGTTGAAGACTGCACAAAAACGAGTTTAAACAGAGCTTACTCTAACCTTTATTTTAAACTTGAGTTTGTACAGTTAGGATTGAACAACATTTAAGTTTATGTGACTGTTGTACAGCTGACCACGTCAATAAAACCTTATTAAAGCAGCACTCCTGTTTTTCTCTTTGGCTGCTTGGATGCACAGCGCTGATATATAGTCGGCAGAAAGTTGTGTGTGAATAAACTCGAGCAGGATTTCAGCAACACCATATTCTTGACCTGATGGAGCCCCCACTGATTCATGTAATTGAATCAGAACAGGTGAAGCAATATTGAAATGTATCAGCTTTATTTTGTATAGTTTTTTCTTCACTAAATAAACTTTGTATATTGTTTATGTGATCAAAACAAACAAATGTGTGTTTACAGCTAAATGTATCCATATTTGATGCCTTTTAGGTTTCTAGTATTAGACCTCTGTCTATGAGCTGACACAGCTAACCTGGCCTGTTTGGCTGAAGGTTGCAGCAGATACAGGAATAATGTCCATAACCAAAGACCTCAGTAACAACTCTGACTGAGGGCACTGATTGAAGGAATCAAGGGCGTAGATTTGGTTTTGGCGTTGGTGGGGACGGATGATTCAGCCACCGAACGCTGCCCCGTTTCTTATTTTGTCCTTTTTGTTTTTGCTTCTTGATAAAAGGAGAAATATACTTGCCTACACATGCTATTCTACATGCTTTTAAACCATTTAAAATCACAATTCATAGTTTTATATGTGAATTATATAACGTTAAATTACTATTTAAAAAAATGACTGACTAAGTATTTTAGACTTTAGTTTACTTCAGCCATATTCCATATAAATCAGGTATCATACAAAAATAAAAATAGCTTCAAATACAGTCATGACAATAAAAGAATATGACTTTAAGGACTTAACAACATTACTTCAGTTACACCAACATCTCTGATACATCAGCACTAAGGGAACACTGAATGACCTGCTGGTTTTGTCCATAAAACTACTCGTCTAAGATGACCACGAAGTAAAAGATCTCTCAGCAAAATTATGCAACATTTTAGGCACTGTTGCCCCGATCAAGTCAGTGAGCTGGGATGTTTTTATTCTCAACATGAGCTACTGTTACAGCAACAGATATGGACTACATGCCCCACATAACAACTCAACGTCCACTATGTGAGGGAGACAAACACATGCCTGCTCCTCTCACTAACAGAGATAAACTGCTGCTGGCATATTGGTTTTACATCTATACTGTCCAGCCTCTCCTGGTGGACACACAGCAGCATTGTTTAATCTCGTTTGAGTCATTGTGGACCTTAGCCTTGTTTTTAGTCTTCTGAGAGCACTGAAGCTTCTCTCAGCCTCAGTACCTGCGTTTTATCCTCAGATTAAAATTATTATTGTGTGCGTGATGTGCCTCACCTTTGGCCCTGGCTCCTCCCCTCTGACTGCACTAGGACATACTGCCAGCTGTCAGCTACCTAAAAAAGGATCCTGGTGTTATTTGTCTCTCAGAAACAGTTCATAACTTCCCTTCAACTCATTCATGTCACCTAAAAGGTAAACCTGTTTCTCCATCACAGCTCTGATGATCCAGTAAGGACATCTCCTGGTTTCATCTTCATGTTTCCCTCTCACCAGATAACCAAACCATATCATGACCAGCAGCTTTACAGCTGTGGCTCCAGCAAACATCAGCTGATACTAGAAATTAATATTAAATAAATTCTAACAACAGCTGATCAAGCTTAAACGTGCTGCTGTTGTTTAGCGCGACATCCGCTGGTTTCCTCTTTCGGCGCAAAGTGAGCGATTGTGGAGGTAAGCATCAACGACACAGCTCTCAGTTCTCACTCCTTCTTTATTCGTCTCCAACATCAACTGCGCATATCGCGCCACAAAACACAGGAACACACTTCCTCTACACTGGGTGTGAGTGGAGCCCTCTAGTGGTCCACCACACGATAAACAAACAAGAGAGCCGATCAGCTGATCATTGATCAGTTTTCATGATTGAAGTAGAAACGGGAGAGGGAGGTGGAGAATGAAAGAAGAAGAGGCAGCTGTGCAGCAAAGACACAGAATAACTCCAGCTTTGTGTCTTTTTCATTGTAGCTGAATTGCGGGACAAACTGTTCCTTTTCACCTCAATAAGAAACGCGAATACGGTTGGCAACTCTAATAACTTATGAACAAAATAAAGTTCAACATCATTAACTTCATAGCACCACCCAGCTGTGTAGAAACTCCGTCATGCTAGCTAGCACGCAGTACGGAAAAAGTCAGAATAACGAAAATAAACTCCACCTAAACTTGGTTCATATCTGACCCAGAGAGACTGCAGGTCAGAACTTCTTACCTGAAGTTCAGTTCACACTTGGACCGGCGGCCGCCTCGGCTCTCTTTTCCTTCTGCGTCCCCTTTCCTTCATCCACCTGCTGCCTCCACCACTTGCTAATGTTACTGAATCTGTGGAAACTCCGCGATGCCACCAAACGAAGTAACGAGTAACGACCCTATCTAAATCCCAGTAACGAGTAACGCGTTCCTGATTTTGGCATAATAACTAGTTACCGTGCTCGTTACCACAATAATAACGTAGTTACTGTAACGCGTTACTTAATAACGCGTTAGTCCCAACACTGCTCACTAGTAATTTATAAAAAAAAGTTACTACTACTACTACTAATAATACATTTTATTTATAAAATGTCTTTCAAGATACTTAACAATAGAATAAAACACGTAATAGAACAAAGACAAAATAAAGAACAATAAAAACAAAAGCACAGGATAAAATAACAAACAGACAAACTAGTCCACAAGGATGGGCGTAATTAACAGTTCATATTCCAGATCCTTGTCGAACTGTACTTTAATATACAGGGAGTGATTTTATTATACAGCCTGCCTTCATTTGTATAACTGGGTTGTGAAGAAGAAGAAAAAACCCCAACATAACACAACACTGTTGAACAGAACAGCAAACTGTAAAATGTAGAACATTTTGACTCGAGTCCTCCGTAAAATACAGGTTTTACCACAATACAAATCCACTTTGTAATTTTACAGCACCTTTTTAAAAATTTTCCCCGGATGTCAGCGTTTCCAAACTAAATGCAGCAGGCGGCGACATAGCACCCTTCTAATAGTACGATCTCAATTAAAAGTAACAGAAGAAGAAAACGACCAATGAGAACTTTCCTGTTCAGGTCACATGACCTGGAAACATGGCCGCTTCAGAAAGCTGAGAAAGCTATCGAGCAATAACAATTACTTTGAACAGCACAAGTACTTATCTATAGGAAGACGTCGGTTTACTTTACGGTAAAATAGCTTTTTATATTTGTATTCACGTGGTAGCTTTGTGTGGCGCAGCTGTCCTGGTTATAGTCCAGTTATACACGCAGAATACACATGTGCAGAAATAAAGCTGGATCCCCGTGTCTGACAAAACCACTGAAGCAATTTTACATTTTTGTGTTTCTAAAGGAAATCTGGGAGCCTCGTGGGTATGAAGTAGCTTTACCGCGTTTGCTGAAGTTCCTCTTTGCTGCTGGAGACCATGAAGCTGCGTGTCCAGCTGCAATGCAAGAACCTGCATGAATACCTGAAGGAGCTGAGTCCGGAGATTTTGGACAGACTCTACAACCACCCAGCGACATGCCTGGCTGTGTACAGGTGCGTGCCTGTGACTGGTTCTGCATCATCACCGTCAGAAGCCAAAAGCATTTCGTGCCTTTCACACTTTAATCGTTTTTTTGCTATATGGAAAGTGTTGAGTGAATTTTCTTCCCTGTTTTTTTATGTGTTTTGATATTTTACAGGGAACTCCCCTCTCTGGCAAAGAATTATGTGATGCGCATGCTGTTCCTGGATCAGCCTCTCCCCCAGGCAGCTGTGGCATTGTGGGTAAAGAAAGACAGTCAGAAGTAAGTTGCCTCTGTTGTTCTGTTTGTCCACGGTGTGTCGGTTTGTCAGTCAAGTACAAAACTACTCTGCTGATTCTCATGAAAATAGAAGAGTTAGAGCATGGGCAAAATAACAACCTGCTAAACTTTGGTGCACATCACTGGTGGCTGATGCACGACAAACTCCAAAGTTTTGTTTTTTTCATTAAAATCACAGTACATTTCTAAATAGCTCTGTAACACACTGGCCCTGTCAGCTGATGACCCCAGCCTGGTAGGTCTGAGCAGGAGAGCCCCTGTTTTTATGCCTCAAATATCAGCCTTGTGTCAGTGCCCTTGTTTTCTGCTTTTAAATTTTTTCCTCATTGTTTAAAACTCATTTGAAACATTTGTCGGAGACTAAAATGAGAGCAGGAATTGTTGCCAAAGAGTCAGCAGCCTGTTTGGTTTGTGAAGCAATTAACAGCTTAGCAGCAGATATTAAAAACAAGATGATGGTAACTGCCATGAATTTATTAGACGTTTGTTACACTTTTATGTTCCTCGTGTGTGGCTTAGAGGTGTTTCCTAAATGGTTGAATGTAGATTTAAATTTATTCTCTTCATTGTGCTCTTTGTCCCCTTTGTATGTTTGGTTCTGCACCATGTGACCAGCATAACACATGGTGCAGATCATTTAACTGCATGACTCGCTGTTCAACCCTGTGTCTGCCTCATGAAGTGATTGATAACTGTCAGGTGTGCTCTGTCCTTGGATGGCAGAGCATCCCTGTGTCTCTGAAACAGGAAATAAGTTGTCTTCAGTGTTTGCAGTTTGTCTTTGACATCTTCAGGGGACTGCACATTTCAACGTGGTAACCAGTTCTGTTCATTGTTTTTTGTCTTTGCCTTCCTCCTGCAGGGACCACGATGAATGTGTCTCAGTGTTGGCTGGTCTCCGCCTCTGGCACAGTCAGCAGCTGCAGGGTGGTCTGCAGGGATACATTTTAAATCCGGTGTTTAAAGACAACCTGAGGACAGCTTTGCTCGGGGGGTACGTCTGCCACTGTGAAAATACTGATTAGTCATGGGGCTGCAGCATCTCTCTCTCTTTTAGGAACTGTTCTTTGAAAAGTGAAAACATGGTTGCTATTGGCGACTGTCAAGCCTTTGAGTCGCCGAGCAGCTGAATAGGGGAATAATGTTGACGCGCCCGTGGTTCAAAACGTAAGTCAAAGTTCCAGCTTAAAAACTTCTTTAGTTGTTATCAAATCCTTAAAATCCAGAAAAACACTGATCAAAAACATCCTAAGCTTGAGCGGTCAGCAAAAGTCGACTTCCCCCATCACCCACTCATTCACAAAAATTCCCTCGGGACGTGAACAGGTGATATAGTAATTAGAGATGGCACGATACCACTTTTTTATGTCCGATACCGATACCGATATCATAAATTTGGATATCTGCCGATACCGATATGAATCCGATATAGTGTTTTTTTAATCAACAAAACTGTTTTTTAAATATCTTGCTGCATTTTGTATAAGTTCATACTCAAGTTTAAAACAACAACTACACTAAACAACAACAATATTTCTGTATGCAAAAAAAATATTTCATAGTTCAGCAATACTGATCAATCTAATAAACTTAAACCTACACCATCCTCCCTATTCTGGTATTTTAAAGAGTACTTAGCATAAATATTAAGCAACCTAACTAATAGGGTTCCAACTCCCAGCAACAACAAAAATAAATAAATAAAAAATAGGGAACCACCCCTCACGCTCCACCTCATGATGCTTAATCGACGTAATCAACCTTAATTTGATGCAGTGTGAAAAAAATACACAGAAATCAATTCTTTTTCAAGAAATATTAAATAGATTCAACATCTTTCTTCAACAAAATTGCAGACTGCACAGATGGTACCTTCCCAAAGGAAAAAGTACTATAGCTTACTAGGGTATATTAGACTTAACAGTTACTATATACAATAATGGACTTCTATACATTTTACATCAGATTAAAACTTTGGGTATAAGATTCAGATAAATATTAAATAATTAAAAGCTCGACATTTTAAATGAGAATAAGAAAGAAAAGTATGTCTTTGTGCCCCCTTTTCCCTGTTAATGCCCTATCGGCCCCCCTGGCTAAACTTTGCTAGATCCGCCCCTGCACAGTTACCGTCAGCTACGTAGAAAAAGATCCTCGAGTAGAAAGTAATATTAAATACATTCTAACAACAGCTTATCAAGCTTAAACGTGCTGCTGTTGTTTATCCACTGGTTTCCTCTTTCTGGTGCAAAGTGGGCCAAAAGCAAACAAGAGACACGGACTCGCAACAGAAAAGCCGATCAGCTGATCGTTAAGCAGTTTCATGATTGAAGTAGCAGCCAGAGAGCGAGAGGCAGTCGCTCGGTAAGCTTAACGCAGGAATGCTTTACAAACATTCAGAGATGGACTTACACACTTGCTTTACTTCTCTCGGGGATAACTTTGTCGGAGATTAAATGCCGGGTTGCTAGCGAAGCTCCAAATGCTATCCAGACCACCCCTGCATGCCACAGCCGCTCTATCACGTGATGCATACTGCTCCGACGTGCTAACGTTCTGAGGTGAGTTACGGCATGTTGCAAGTTTTGTGAGGTGCTTTCGTGATATTTAATGGATCGGATTACATTTTTTATTTTTCTCCGATATCCGATCCAGTAATTTAGGTCAGTATCGGACCGATACCGATACGTAATATCGGATCGGTCCATCTCTAATAGTAATCACTATTACTGTTACCGACACCACGTGACCCAAAGCTACGCCTATCCACAACAGTTACTGGGCCCAAAACTAAGTCAGTGAGGTCCTGTTACCTGCTTGGTTTCACTTTCTTTCATTCCTGGAGGACCAGTATTAACCAAGAGAGCCAAATCATTGTTGTTTCAACACACAGGGGGCGAGCTTGGGCTGATGAGGGGAGCACGCTGGGCCCTGACCGCCATGCACGAGACATCGAGAGTCTTGACCGCTATGCTATGGAGCGCTGGGAGATCATCCTGCAGTTTATGGTGGGTTCTCCCAGCGCTGTCAGCCAGGACCTGGCACAGCTTTTGGTTCAAGCAGGCCTCATGAAAAGGTATGCAGTAGTCTTTATGTCACATTCACATTTTACATGTAATGTATATGAAAGTAAGAAGATTCAAGATTGTTTATTTGCCACACGCATAGTCGTACAAGTACAAAACACAGTGAAATGTGACTGTGCAAACATTATAAACAATAAGTACATTTAAATAAAAAATCAGGAACTTTTTAATGAAAAATCTGCAAATGTACTTTGTGCCATATGAGCACTGCAGAGCAATGCAAGCAGAGTGGCCAGAGTAATGTAACAGCAAAAAGTCTAAAACAGTTTTAAATCTGCATTTACAGCTCATGTGATATGAATGAAATTCAGCATTATAATGCGCTCCAGTCAAAAACATCTGCATTCTTGCCAGTGATGGTTGTTACTGTGAGATGTTGTTGGTTTTCTCTATAAAGAAGTGCTCATGTTTTTATTTGTAGCCCTGTGGCGTTTGCTTTGGCTGCAGTCAATGAAACAGTCAGTGTTGAAAAATGAATGAAACATGGCTTGAATCCTCTGGCTGTTGTCTGATGGTGATTGGACTATTTAATGCGGGGAAAAGAATTGGTACTCATATCCTTTAGAACAGGGGTGTCAAACTCAAATACACAGTGGGCCAAAATTCAAAACTGGAACAAAGTCGCGGGCTAACGTTAATATTTATTGAAAAAAAAAATACTCCTCCAGATTTAAGAATGAATCTTTTCTTATGGACTCAAACAAGTTTTGCTGAAAAACTGAATGTGGAACAAGCAAAGCTTAATACTAAACAATATATTAGCTGTATAATACCAGTAGGCCAGCTCTGATAGTAATTTGGTATGGCTTCGCGGGCCAAATGTAATTAGGCTGCGGGCCAAATTTGGGCCGCGGGCCAGAGTTTGACACCTACGCTTTAGAAGCTCCAAGGGATGGAGGAACGTAATAACAAAGAGACATGAAGGCAAAATTGATAAATAAGGTTTTTATTAATTTTTGTTTCATGCTAATTAAACTGAAAGAGACAACAAGCCACTGTCACCTTCAAAAGAAAGGAAACACTCAAAGTTGGTCACTAAACAGAAGGCCAGTCACACACTCGTCTTCACAGACCAGTCGTAAGCAGTCACCACACACAGCTCACTAGCTGAAAACCAGAAAGGCTCTCTGGCAGCTCTCCTTTCTCTGGCCTCAAGTACTCTAGCTCAATTGCTGGGTAGAGTCAGGCGGCACCTAAAGCTAGACACACCCATGCAGTGTAAATTCAATTAGTCTGTATTCAGTGACTTGGCCTGTACATGACGTATGAGTTTTCCAGCTGCCGAGCCTGATGGATTCTACGATTAGTAACCACTGACGCTGTAGATTGTTACTGTAACCGTACAAGACAAGGAAGCCCAGGTCAGACTTTTCCAGAAAACATCAAAGAAAGGCTTCAGGCTGGGGGGGATGATGTGTGCAGCCTGTGTGAGCTCAGGTCAAATGTAAATAACGTGTTGGGTGCGCCTGAGTAAGAGGAAATCCAAAGTGGACAGCTGTAACATTGTATGAAAGAAGTAACAGTAAAGAGCAGACTATGCTAAAATACATTTTCTTTCATCTCCATGGCGTTAACAGAAACCCGCCATGCGGAGGGTTTGTTGGCGAGTAATGTCGGCGCTGTATCTCATGTTGTCCTGATTTATTCTCCGACTGTCAGTGAAGCAGGAGAGGCGCCCTACATCACCTCAGCTGGCTTCCAGTTCCTCCTTCTGGACACAGCCTCTCAGCTATGGTACTTCACCTTGCAGTACCTCAAAACTGCTCAGGTATGCCTCTCTACTACTTCAACCTGATCAGGTTTAAACTGATTTGACGAGCAGGTCGTTGAGGCTCTAGAGTCTGTAGCCTGTCATTACTCTGACTAGCACGTGTTCAGGCAGACGGGGCTCTAGTCCTCGATGCGAGCTGCTGCAGATGCTGGCTGGACTGAAAACCCTACTTTGGGTCACAGAAATCTTTTCTAAGGATATCTGCTTTATATAGTGCACATGCTGGCCTGAAGGACTGAGCTCTGTGTGGGAATGGAAATCTATTTGTGAGACAAAGTGAAACTTGGCAGTTGTGAATAACAATGAAAACTGGGCAGCATCTTTACATCAGCGTGTAAATTCATTTTGTTCCCACTCTGAATCAGCCATCATTTCCCTGTGAAATAAGAAAAACATCTTTAGCTGAACCAATCAGGCTCTTCGTGTCACCAGACCCATTTAATCATAATCATTAATCATCCTGTCGCACTCCACGTTGATTAAAGTGAATAATGAATCCTGATGGCAGCACGGTGGCACGGTGGTTAGCACTGTTGCCGCACAGCAAGAAGGTCCTGAGTTCAATTCCCCATCAGGCCGGGGTCTTTCTGTGTGGAGTTTGCATGTTCTCCCCGTGTTTGCGTGGGTTCTCTCCGGGTACTCCGGCTTCCTCCCACCGTCCAAAGACATGCACTTAGTGGGGATAGGTTAATTGGATAATCCAAATTGCCACTAGGAGTGAGTGTGAGTGTGAATGGTTGTCTGTCCCTGTGTGTTGGCCCTGCGACAGACTGGCGACCTGTCCAGGGTGGACCCCGCCTCTCGCCCTATGACAGCTGGGATAGGCTCCAGCGCCCCCCGCGACCCTGAGAAGGAGAAGCGGAAGCGGATGGATGAATCCGGATGTAACATAATTAAAAGTGTAATTATGGATAGAAATACATTTGTAAAGCTTGTTGAAAGACTGTCTTTGAGGTGTTTATTCACCAATGATTTTAGTTGTCAGTTGCCTAGCAACTAAAGCTCGACCTGAGGACATACTCGACCCGTGTCGATGAACAGTTAAGCAAACTCTCAGAGAGCTGCACTTGTTTCCTGTTATGAAACACCACTCTGCTGGCAAGTTTGCCGTAAAAGACAATAATTTATGGTTACATTAGACTAATATTAATGACTACAAATTGTCATTAATTAATTTTTTATTTATTTAACCTTTAGTTAAACAGGAAGATCCCACTGAGATTAAAAACCTCTTTTTAAGGGTGACCTGGACCAGACAGGCGTACAGAAATACAAATTATGTAAATTATATAAAAACGCTATGAGCCACCTCTTAATTGTGGATCAATGTTGAATGCATCATTAATATCGATTTAAAAAGAGGACATCAAATCTGTGCCCATAGTTCAAGATCCTCCTCTTCTTTCAGCTGCTCCCTTTAGTACTCTCCACAGTGGTTCATCCTCCTCCATCTCCTCCTATCCCAGCATCCTCATCTGTCACACCAGCCCTCTGCATGTCCTACATGCATGAACCTCCTCTCAGGCTTCCACTTTTCTTGCCTGGCAGCTCCATCTTCATCATCCTTTGTCCACCATATCCACCCTCCCTCCTCTCCTACTATGAGCTGTTCCTTATATCTTACTCCCAGAGAAAACATCTTCAGCTTTCCATTTTTTGTCAGTGCTGCATCACACGTGTCTCGGTGTCCTCTGTGTTGGATTAAAATGTTAGAGCTGAAGCCCCAGCCTGAAACGGACCAAAAGTGTTGATCTCACAAAAAGAAACTGTCCATTCAGGTCGAGGAGGTTGTAGAAATGACTCCGTATCAGCGAATCTTTATCTCACTGCTGTTGTAAGACCTCAGCCCTGCTGTGTAAAGTGCCATGTGGTGCATGCAATGATCCAAGATGGAGTTTATTTGTTTTCCTTTGCTTGTTATTAAATGCTTAAATGTGTAATTGAACCGATCTACTCATATCTCATACTTTGTGTCTTGTAGTCCAGAGGGATGGACCTGGTGGAGATCTTGTCATTCTTATTCCAGCTCAGTTTCTCTAGTCTGGGCAGAGTGAGTGCACAGCAGTTAGCATCTGTTTGACTTATTTATTCATTTTTAATTGATTATTTTTACTGGGTTTGTGTGCAAAAAGCAAGATAACTTTGCTGTAATACGGTGGTCTCAGGTCTTCCTTTAACGTGCTGCCTGTGTGCTCTAGGATTACTCGGTGGAGGGTATGAGCGAGTCATTACTGACTTTTCTGCAGCACCTGCGAGAGTTTGGACTGGTGTTCCAGAGAAAGGTGAGCTACTTGAGAATCTTACTTTGTGTGCAAAAAAAACAACCCAACTAGCTGTTCGAATGGCTTGATTTTACTTAACCAGTTGTTGTTCTCCTTCGGATTGGTTTTCTTTCTTGTGTAAATAAGAAAGTGTAGAATCATTAAACACAGTAGAATCATTCCTACTGTTTGACAAATTTGGGCATTTAGAGGGAAAAGGTTAAGTACAGCTTACAATAAACACTTCAAACTGAAACCTGTGTGTCCTGGACTAGAGTACAACACTGACAGAGCCATTGCACGTGAGACCTGGTTTGCTAGCTGCTACCGCAGCACAAGTTAGTGCAGTTACGTAGCAGGGTTGGACTGGTCTGATTACGCTGTCACCACAAAGAGCTGTGGAAGGCAAAATGACCTAAATGCTTAAAAATGGTTGAAATCTCTATAGTTAGTTACCAGAACACTATCAGTAGTTAGAAGTCTGGTTTTGGTTGTTGTTTTTTAATGCTTCCATCTTCTGCTATTTAGAGGAAGTCCAGGAGATATTATCCCACCAGGCTGGCAATCACTCTGGCTGCAGGAGTCGCCAGCAGCTCCTCCTCCTCTAACCTGGCTTCCAGTCCTGGTACTGGAGATGCAGGTTTCATTGTGGTGGAAACCAATTATCGTATCTATGCCTACACAAGTATGTGTGAACACCTCAAGACTTTTCACATCTAGTCACTATGTAACCATTGATTAAGAGGGTGTCAGGATGGCTGAAGCTCCATTGTAAACCGCATAGAATTTGACCCTGACTTCCTTTAACTGTTTTACAGTAGCATCTCTAATTGTTCGTGTAATTTTCCCCTTTGTTTCATTTGAAAGGATGCACAGCTATCATACAGAACCTGTCCAGACTTGTGTTTGTGTGACTCTCACAGATTCAGAACTTCAGATTGCTCTGGTGGCTCTCTTCAGTGAAATGCTCTACCGCTTCCCCAATGTAGTTGTGGCTCAGCTGACAAGGGAGTCTGTGCAACAGGCTATCGCCAACGGGATCACTGCACAGCAGGTACTGCTGCGCTGTCATCTTTCCCATCCTCCAACCCCCTGTACTGATGGAGCCGCAGCAAAAACACAAACTGTGAACATTAGACAGATTGGAACAAACACAGAAAGTAATCATGACAGAACATTAGACTTGCACTCCCGTATGCATTGGCACCACAGAGCTGTAACCTTCGTCACATGGCCTGATGTTACAGTAGAAAGTGAACACTCAGTAAATGTGTGAAAGAATTGGCTCACATAAACCTTTGATTTCCTCTTTGGAAACCTTTAGTAATACTTTTCAGCAACAACTTCAGGATCACCGCTCATGTCTTCCCTACTTGATTTTGTGTTAACGCACACCTGAATCCAGAGCAGCGAATTGTCGAACAGTATATTCATTTTTGTTAAATGAGTAATGGCACATAGTTTTGTGATTCGTCTAATTGAAGCCCTATTAAGGAACATTTTAATTTTAGAACGTCCTGATGTGTAAAACCTTAAAAGAGGGAGCACTTGTTTTGACATTGATGCGTCGGGCACGATGCGGCGCACACCCCGGACAGGCCACAGAGAAAACGTACATTTACAATCACGGACAATTTATTTAAATCCAAAATGCCACAGCAAACCGGGCAGGTGCAAGTATACCCACCCGCTGTGGATAAGTCCAGACTGGGACAGAGTCTAGTCCCTCTGAAGGCGACCGGCTCCAGAGCTCCAGAGCTGAGTTTTTACATTTTGTGTTCTCTTCTGTTCAGATTATCCATTTTCTGAGGACCAGAGCTCACCCTGTCATGCTCACTCGGGTACAGCATTGATTCTTTTTGCAGTTCAGTCTAGTAAAATGAATAATGAACAGGTTAATCGCTCTGCAAAGTATCCTCATCCTCTGTTGTGCTTTTAGACCCCAGTGCTGCCTCCAACTATAACAGACCAGATCAGACTGTGGGAGCTGGAGAGAGATCGCCTGCAGTTCACAGAGGGTGAGCATGTTTATCAAGTGTGTGTGTTCAAAACAACACTTAACACTACTTGTTTATTTCTTGCCTTCATAAATTTGTTGTAATGTACATATCCACTGTGCTAATTACAGGCGTGCATCAGTAATCGTGCCATGCTAACAAGTAGTCTGCTGCTCTCACATATTGTTTTCAGTTTGTGGTAAAGGTGAAAAATACCCGCCCTCCCTGTTAGATGTGAAACATCTCCCTGCAAACTGTCGCTCACTCAATGTTTCCTCCTTTTTGGACTGCTCTTTGTAAATGAGATTGCTTGTGTAGGACAATCCCAACAGTCAGGCTATTTTAATCCACTGTTCTTTCTTCTTCTTCTTTCTGATGATGCCCAGTTCACACTTCAGCAGGTCATCTTGATGATGCCTAGTTGCCTAAATGCATTGTGTCGCTGCCATGTGATTCAGTGATTAGTCATATGCCTTTACAAGTAACAGGTGTATCTAATGAATTGGCAATAAACAGCAGACTGTGTACATGTACTTTTATCAGTGAGTGGTTCCTTGGCGCTCTATGTAATGTCTGTGAACCATCATTTGATTCTTCCTGGTGACGCTGGACTCACTGCTCACAGAGACCTTTCAAAATAGCTGAGCTGTAACTCTGATGAACTCTACACTATGATGGAGAGGAAGAGAACTGATGGTGCGTGCGTGCGTGTGTTGTCGTCCATGTCTCCTTCAGGTGTGCTCTATAACCAGTTCCTCTCCCAGGCTGACTTTGAGGTTCTGCGAGACAGAGCTCAGGTTGGTTTGTTTTTATATTAATACCAGAATCATAACAGATTAATATACTGTGTAATGTTTTTAAGGATCCTTAGTCAGTTAGGATATGCTGCTTTGATTTTGAGGTCTCCAGCATTGCTTGTACCTGCTGCTCCAAGACGCTCATGTCTTCATAATGGCACGTCCTGGTGTACAACAAAACGTAACAAGTTGTAATAGTAGAAATTTTCTTAAACATAACTCCTGTATTGGTGTTACAGCACAAGAGCCAGTGACGTTGTGCCATATTTCCACTGTATGTATTCATATAATTCCATGCGATCGACGTGTTGTAGTTACAGCAGATGGACATCTTTTTAATGACTTTTCTGTTCATCAAATGCCAAGACTGTCTTTGTAGCCTGCTGGTGTCTAACAAAGGTGTTCTGGTGCAGGGCCTGGGCTGTCTGGTGTGGCAGGATGTGGCCCACAGAGTGATGGTGGTGACACCACAGGGACACAGCGAGGTCAAGAGGTTCTGGAAACGTCAGCGATCTCACACGTAAACGGAGGAGGAGAAATGTGGCTTTTCTTGCTTTCCACTACCATCACCGTTGTTAGTACGACAGGAAAGTGAAGATGACTTTGTATTTTTTATAACATGCTAGCATCTGAGTATTAAACTGAACAGTTTCTGCTCATGCTTTCCTTTTTGAGTAGCTGTGTGTATCCTATACTCAGAATCAGGTTTTGATTACTGAGTTCTCAAAGACACCCTTTGGACTCTAAGTACTACAAAGTACTGTGGAACATCCACTGTAAATAATCGTATAACTGGTGGAGTTACAGTGAAAAAGCTGACAGCAATAATGGAACCAAACTCAGAAGATTAATTTGTAAGAAGCCAACTTTATTAATTGATCTGTTTGGTGTTGTGACCTGAGAACTAAGTGCATGGCTCAAAGACACCCTGTACACACTGGATAAGGATTGTGGCTTCTTATATTTTTGAGTTCAGAATAAAAGTTGTTGAATTATATTTTCACAATAATGTTTTGAATTAACGTCACATAATACCTGCTTGAAACAACAGACACTTATCTTTACGTTGGTATTGCCACTAGAGCAGCTTTTTTTGTGGCTGTGGAAGTCTAACCGGGACAGTATGGTGTCTTTTAAGTAATTGCTGTTTGAAGTACTCATCCATATTCAGTAAAATATAGTAGATGACAGTAGTGGTAGCTCCCAGTTTGAAGTAGCAGATAGGATTAACTAGAATTTTGCTAGACCAGGCCATGGACCAGTTGGAAGGTTGATGGATCCCTCCAGCCCGCTTCCCTGAGGAGGATCGCAACTCCTGAGTTTCCTTCAGTGTGTTCACCATAGTGCCAGTTAGTGAGTGTGATTGAATGAAAATGTTAGAGGAGCCTAGGCATAGATAAAAACACTGTGTAGATATGTGTGTGTATGAGTAAATTAAATTGATGAGAAGTTAAAATGCACTCCTCATGCGCAAGAATATCATGGTAAGGTTTGTCTTTTAATAGTTTCTTTTGCAGTGTGGGAATGACTGTACAGCATACATCTTCAGCGACTCAAAAACAAGAATGAGGTGTTTGAATTTTCTCTCATCCACACAGTCAAAAGTATACACACAGGCATCTCTGGATATTGGACAACCCTTCTTGGCAGAATTGGTTGAGTTCTTTAAATTAGTTGGTTTTCTCTCTGCTTTTAAACTTAGCCCACAAATTTTCTATGGGGTCAAAGTCTGGGGTTTTGGGAAGGCTTTGTTCTTGATTGGCAGCCTCAGTCCATGTTGATGCAAAACTGACTTCACTATAGAAAGTGATGCTGGTGTTCAGCAGTTTCCAGTTCATGGCAGGATTGAGCCTTAGTGGTTCCTGAGTTGCTCTTGAGCATCCAAACTATTTTCTTCTCATCTGAGGATGACAATTTAGGTCTTCTTCCTGATTTTGGCAAAGTGGTGACATATCAGAATAAATAAATTTCAAATCAAAAGCAAATTTCCATGTTCTGAGGAAAAGGTGATATTTGACAAAAAGGGCTATGATGGCCCCAATCTGATCTAAAGGTTTAAGTTGGTTCAGGGAGAATCTGATGATTACGTGGCATATATAAGGGCCCATGAACGGTTTTCGTTCATGTATAGTCTGATATTACATTAGATTGGTATTTTTTCTTTATTTTTCGCCCTTTCCAGACACGCTTTGTCTTATTGGACCCCTGTATGTTTGAGCTACAATGGAAACCTAAAAAGATCTATAAAAGGATGTACAGTTAAATGACATCTGATTTAACTCCACATGAACACGTGAGTAATAAACATCATGTGTTATAAATATAATGCAGCCCACCATCTGCAGTATTCACTGCAGGTTCTGAACCCGCAAAAGATTGTTAGCCAAGTTACATTTAACCCAGTATTATATCTATGTATATTAAATATCATGATACAAATGTAATTTTTAAAAAATTACTGTGATTGTGAAAAGAATTAAACCAGGAGAAGGAAGAGTGGGCTGTAGTGGGGTGCCATAGTCGGTGCAATGTGACTGGCTGGCCTAGCGTTAGTCAGGCGCTGGTTTGTACTAGTAATGTGTCGGTCGCGAACGAAATGGCTCTTAGAGCCGACTCCTTATCGCGAGCTGTGGGGTTTTTTTTTTTCCCTTCTCTCACTTTTTTCCGCTTCACTCTGCACACAAGCCTTGTGTGGAGTAAATAAATAAAAGTATATTTACGGTGGCCCCTAGAGACAAAGCACGTACAAACTTCAAAACACGTCCGAACTCTGAAGCACGTAAAAACCCCGAAGCACGTACAAACTCCAAAACACGTACAAAAGACAACAGAAGTGCTCCAGGATGCTAGGCGCAGTGTTGAGCTTTTGTTACCTACTGGCTATGCAAGCCAGCAAGTACCAGCGACCAGATTTGGTGTGTGGTAGTAATAGGTAAATGAACATTTTTTTAAAATTATTTGAATATATATGAGTGCATGTGTATAAATACACAAACAATACACTTATGCTTTCAATTGTGTAATTTAAGTGATCTAGGTAGCGCTGTTTTGGAAGTTCAGTTAACGCTAGAAATGTGTTTTGTAGTTTGTACATGCTTTGTCTCTAGGGGCCACCGCATATATTTATATATAAACATATATAAATAAACCACTTTTTTACATTAGTAATTCATTTTGTGCATAATTTTATATTGTTGTTAATAATAAATTCATTAAAGCAACAAAACAACCTAAAGAGCCGGTTGGGAGCCGAAAGAGCCGGCTCTTTTTAGTGAGTCGAGCCGAAAGAGCCGGTTCTCTAAAAAGATCCGGAAATCCCATCACTAGTTTGTACACATACTCGTACTCAAAGTATGAGTACACGCGGGGCGACCTTCCACTGCCCTAAACACTGACACATTATTGTACCGGGAGGTTAAAGAAATATCACAGCAGCCGAACGACTGGGCCGCCCATGGAGCCTGGGACCTCGCGTGAAACTCTGAAGCGTGCAGGAAGCCCCAACCCGGCCGGTGTTCCAGATCTACTGGCGTTTAGATCAACTGGCGTTTAGATCAACTGGCGTTTAGATCTACTGGCGTTTAGATCAACTGGCGTTGGTCGAACAGATGTGTGGCAGTCTTGCGTTTCAGGAGCTGCTACCGACAAACCAGCAAAAAAACGCCAAATGTGTCACCTGTGACACTTGTGAGGTTATCTCAAACACACTCCGTCAGTCTTGATGCTGTTGCACAACAAAATGTTTAAAATGTGGCGAGTTTACCTGGTGATATCCTCATGCGCGACGCGATCGCGAAAACAGCAAACAAGTAACACCACGCCGTTGTTGTTCACAGGACAGCAAGAGTAAACGATCGGGAGACTCTTGTCGTCGTTATCGTTCCCCTCGCAC